GAGCTCGGTCCGAAGCGCCGCGACCCGCGCTCGGCGCTGGTCTCTGGGCGGTCTACGTGGCGATGAAGAGGAGTCTGGAGGAGCAGAATTGATCCAACCTCGGTGGAAGCTGTGAGGTGCACCTGCGCATAAAGATGATATAGTAGTATAGGGACCCCAAACAGACATCATTGGACAAGCAAGCCACTGCGTGACCTGGATTTTTCGGGATGTCCATCAAGTTCCCTTCTTTTGCAGAAAAGCCGTGACCGCTGTGAACGTCAGTGAGTTCACAAGTCCGCTGCATGTGAACGAGCTCCGCCAGGAGATCGGAGATTCCATGGTTCCAGCAGTCTTTGTCCTCTCATTTTAGGAACTGCATCAGCCTATTTGTCTGTTGACAGGTCAGGGCTATTTCCAACATCCTCAGAGCTATTCCTAAAATTCTGAGGGCTATTTAAAAAAGAACTGGTGAGCCACTCTAAAAACCTGCAGTCACTCCCTATGTCGTATCACTTTCCTTGCGCGAGGCCTTACGCGCTGCTTACGCGGCCCTCACTTTTGCTTACGCAAAGCAAACTTCCGAAATGCTTACGCGAAATGCTTACGCAGTCTTACGCAACCCAGGGTTTTGCTTACGCGGAATTCGATATGACAAGGTCCTTACTTAAGATGTAAAGGCAGGTTTTTAGAGCCTCTCTGGTGAATTTGACTGTGCAAATGTCCTGTTGGCATTGTATGATTCTCATGTCTGGATTCCACTCTCAGATGCTCTTCCTGGGACAAGTCTTTGTTGAGTACTCGTTGGCTGAGAGTCTTAAAACTAGCCTGGTGTGGAAACAAATGTTCCCGTTTCCACTCATCCCACACCCCAGTCCATCCTATCAGTCACACGCCTCACATTGCAGCAAAGTGCTTTGTTTTTTCACTCAGGGTTTACTGTAGCACCAGTACTGTTCTGGAGCCTTCTTCTGAGCAACCGTTATTATAGACTATCACTATAGTTCTGGTAAACAATGAAGCTTTTGATTTGGTAAACTTAAACAGAAACAGTTGCAAATACATCAAAAATTAAAGTTCTAGAAAAATCATGAAACATTCTATGAACATCTGAAATAGTTCTGCCAGGACCTTCCAACAGGTGGTTTTTTGGCCACCTCTTAACCTCTAAGATGCTATTTATAGACACCTCTTGGAAGGTCCTGGTGGACAAATATGAAATAGTCCTGGAAGAATATGAAATGGTCCTGGAAAAGACACAGAAAGCCCCAACAAATAGGCCACAGCAGGTTGTAACTCTCATTTATCAAAAAAAATATTCGACCAGCGGTCTTTCTTAAAGTCTTAAATCACACACCCAATCGAACACCCAGCAAATATTCGCCTCTTCTCCTGTCCGTCCAGCAAAACGGTCGCGGGACTTCGGGGGGTTCATGACGTTTGGTCCTCGTTGCCAAAGAGCTCATCCACATCATCCTGAAGGAGAGCAGGCACGAAGGTGCTCGTCCATTGCGTCTCATGTCTCATGACTGACTGAGGTATTCTTCCGGTCTACTCAGTTCCACTCCAAAGTGATACAGGAAGGTTGATGCAAATGAGCTCGTTCGAAGTGCCTCACATCAGCTGAGATGAGGTGATGTGCCACTTGCCAGTAGCGATCAGCATAGCAATTAGCCTAGCGATCAGCTGAGATCCCCACTTTCTTACGGCGGCGTGAGTGTCTCCGATGCCAGCATTGATCAATGCCGGAACAAACATGGGGAGCACCTTCACATGATCAAGAATCGAAAGACTCACATGAGGCTTCACACATTATGGCTTCTCATGAGGCTTTTCCAACCTTGCCCCTATATGCTTTGCTGACAGCAAGACTTTTCAGATCAAAGTACACAATGAGTGGGCTTCTCCTAAATTTTACATACACATCCTTACACACCCATTCTGGAATACACATGACATCACATGATCTTCCATTCCACCGCCGTTCACGTTTTGCCGCCTTCATCGGCAACGACTTCAGGGCGGCCAGGAACGTGCTCTTGCCCGAGCCGCGGGGGCCTCGGTGGACGTCCCACCGTGGCGGATGGCGGAGCCATGTTATGCCATGAATGGACGGACAAGAGTTGACATCGAGAACGCCTGAAACATATGCAAACGAGTGAAGAAGTAAACAGCTTAACATAAGCCAAAAAGTCTGACTCAGGACTCGGGACTCTTAAGACAAAACGCACCCATGTTCAATTCGACTTTGGCTTTCACTTCGCCACTTCCGTGTCACACCGGCCGTTCACTGATCCACCGAGTCAGCCACCGACGATCACGACGCAGCAGGGAGTTCCGTGACCTTGAGAAATCCCGACTTCCCTTCAGAATGGAAGACATCCCTTAAGAAAGCTATGTCTTAACGAAAGAAGCAGGGGCGCTCCGTGTTGTGTGTTGTGGGTGAACTTGCACGGTGTTTGGTTTCACCACCTGCCCATCTACAGTATCAACAGTAATTAGGTCAGTCTTCAGCTTCATCACCTTGAGGCCATCGCTCCCCTTCGCCGTCTGCAGGAGCCATTCCTGCTCAGCTCTGTAGTAAGGCTTTTCAAAAAGAGGAGAACCCGTCGCCTCCCGTCCAATGTGTTCAACCGGTGCCTTCGCAGGGCTCGGCGCGAGGTGCTCCAACCCAGTCTGCAGTCGTGGCGGGGGTACACAATCGACGCGTCCGCGGTCGCTGTACGTCGGCGAATGGAGGGGTTCTGCGTTTTTGAGCGCCTTCGTGGAACTGGATGGGTTGGATAGGTAGCTTGAAGGCCTCAAGGTTCCAGCTCCTCTTATTCTGATTCTGCATGAGAAAGCAATGGGGTTCAAAACTCAAAACAGCCAAAAGAAATGCTCAGTACTCACAGTACTCAATACATCTCAATACTATTCAATACTCAATGCATCTCAACGCTCAATACATTACTTACGGCCTTTCGGCCTTTCAAATCTGTACAACATCCCCGCGCTGCACCGCACGCCGCGCCGGCGCCGCTTGGAATCTCTGAGCTTGGAACGACGGTAACGGTACACTCGCCTCAGGTTTGGCGGCAGGAGATAGACTCTGATGGATGAATGTGGCATGAATGAATTGAATGTAAAAACAAACAAACAAACAAACAAACAAGCAAGCAAGCAAGCAAAGGAGCAAAGATCCATATCTATGATGTTGATGCAGTTTTGCACAAGGTCTTCTATTCCATTGAAGATTGCTAGACGGCTAAACAAGAGTTCCAAGGCTTTCTTCCACGCGTACTCTCAACTCTCAAACTTGCCTGGGACTCTGACGGTACTCAACTCATGTTCCAAAGGCACAACCTCTTGAAATGCCTCGAGCACTCGCATTGCCCAAGGCCCGCCGGCTGCGAAACACCGGGCTTCGAACGTGCCATCGGTTCCGGGTCGGTGTCCGCACCACAATGGAATCCGTAGCCCGTGGAAACTGTCAAAGCTGGTGACTCTTCTTAAGCTCCAATACCCTTCAATTGATACAACGAGTTGCATGGCATGGCATCTGATCTTTTCACGTTTCATGTCGATGAACCATCTTGGGGCTGTACCAAGCCGCTGCCCTGCTTTGAGACCAACGCTTCAAGGGTAAGAACGTCCGGAACTGCCCACACTACCTGGAAACTTCCTTTGATTCTGTCCCATTCAGCTTGTACAAGTGACGAAATGTATGATATTGAAACATGGCACTCCAAAACATCATGCAAGTCATTGGGACCTCAACTTGGGTCGGTATACCCACTCCAGCACGCACACGAGCGCACACACGCCCTGGATGCATGTTTCTCCGTTTGACCCAACAATTGAGCCTTGATTAACATTAACTTCGACTTCCTCCCAAACTGATCTCAATCTATAGGGTCTGGAAACCTGAGGTTCAGGTCGGTCTTTGAAATCTCGTTCATGTCAAAACATCCAAGAGAAAGATGGACACAGCGGTACCCTGCAAGTGCCATCCGAGGTACGCTCCGCCAAGCGGACAGCACTGGTTGAGCTGACAGCACCGAGACAAAGGTCAAGCGTCCTGGTCGAGCCCAGGAGGGTGCGGGGCCCGGGGGTGGCCAAACACAGGGTGGAAACCAACAAGGCGAACGAGAAGGGGTCGCAGGTCGCAGTCTTCATCGTTTTTGTCTGTTTTGCTTTCGCGAGTTTGGAGGCGAAACAAGCCAAGGGATATTTTCTAGTTCAGTTCAGGCTGGCAAAAACAGGGGTGAACACCAGGAAGACTCGGCTTTTTCATCCATCCGCTTGCCCCGTGCGATCTTTAAGACAACCCCCTCCGCACCGGTCGCCCCGTGATCGCCCCGTGACTGTCGCCTGCTTCGGACCTCGACCATTCACCTCGGCCATTGACCCGCTTCGGAAAGAGGCCAAAAAGCTGCCCAGGCCATTGACCCGTTCAGAAGGGTCGCCCCTGGCCATTGACCCGTTCAGAAGGTCGATGTGCGACAAACAGTATCACACACCCCAAAAACACACCTCAATCACACACCAAAAACACACCCCAGCCTGTTTTAATCCAAGATACATCCGTGGGATTCACTCCCCAAATCTTTCACCAGATGCCCCGACGCCTACGTCGAGCTGCGACGCTCTCCGCGCCCGGAAAATAGCTCCGCTTCCGGCACACGGACCTCTTCGAGGCGTGAAGCGGACGGATCATTCGAACACCGGAAGACGCCGGGGACGTCGAAGACGCCGGGGACGGCGGAGTGCAGTACAAATACTGCAAAACAAAGTAATGTAGTATACATAAGATATCTAGTAAGCTGAAGCTAAGCTGAAGCTGAAGCTAAGCTGAAGTGCCATCATCTGAGCCAAATTCGAGGAACGTCAATGTGGAAACAACTTGTCACATTGTTCCGATTCCGAATTGGGAGTGAACCAGTGTCTCAACCAGCTAGTCTTACTCTTGTGCTCCAACGAATGGCTGGGAAAAATGCTCCAGGTTGGAGCTTGGAAAGCGAAGCCCTCAGAGTGTGGGCCTAGTGCACGACATGGTGGACATGGTGCACATGGCCACCACTGGACCAGCTGCCACCACTGGACCAGCTGTGGCCGCCTGCCGCACCAGCAGCACCACCAGCCGCGCCGCCAGCTGCGCCACCGGCTGCACCGGAGACATAGTGGTGGGTGACAACAACATGAGTGTGTCCACCAGCACCGGCACCATGGTACACATAGCCAGGGCAGCCAAGCTGTTCGTGGCCGCAGCACCAAGACTTCTTGGGGCCAGACCAGCCGTGCTCCCATCCAGGCAGGCCTGCATGGCAATCATATGGCTTCTGCACAGAAACAGCGCCATGTGCCATGTGGGCCTCCCAAGTCCACTGGCCACTGATCATGACCTTCTTCCAGACCTTGCCAGCACCAGCGTCGCAGTTGGGTGGTGTATCTGGAGACTGGCAGCCTTCGCCCTTCTCCTTGCAGCACCAAACCTTCTTGGAAGGAGACCAGGCACGGCACCAATTGCCCAAGGCAGCATAGCAATCGAAGGCCGCTTTGCCAGGTCCTTGCTCGCCACACCCTGCGGCCTGGATAGTGCACGCACGGCACACATCGCACTCCACCTGAGGAGGATGCTCAAAGACCCAAACAGTTGTGGCTTCTTGGACTAACAAATTGCCTGAAGTAGAAAGTGTGACGTGGGCTTACCAAAAAGCAAGAAACCCTCAACAACGTCCCACCTGAATCTTGCTGTAGGCCAAATTGCAAGCGTTGCTCTTTGAGCCAAAGACATTCTCCTGCGTCCAATCAATGCGCTGCTTGCAAGTAGAAGTCTCTCCGTTCAAAGTGCACTGCGCATCACAGCCAAGTGGGGACAGGGTGGTGTGAGGGCAGCCCAACTGGAAGTTCTTGCAGCAGAAGTCTCGCTGATCAGAGGACCAAGCATTCACATCTCCATGCTCTCCATGGCAATGGAACTTGACGCAGTACTGGCTGTGACCATTGCTGCAGCACCAGTCCTTCTTCTTTGTCGACCATCCCTGAATCCAGTTGGAGGCGCCTGCGTTGCAATCGTAGCCGCCTTTGCCCACTCCATGCACATGCTGCACATGAACGACGGCATGAGCGTGCCAGTGTCCATGCCACGTGCCAGGGCAGCCCATCTGCTTGTGGGAGCAGCACCAGTCTTTCTTTGGACTTGACCACCCGTGGTACCAATTGGAGAAGCCTGCATGGCAGTCATAACTGTGGATCACATGGACGGTCTTGACCCAGTGTCCAGGGCACCCGACATTTTGGTGAGAGCAGCACCAGCTCTGCTTGGCATGAGACCAAAGGCTCTTCCAATGATCGAAGCCGCTGTTGCAGTCATAGTCCGAATCAACCACAGTATTCCATTGAGTGTGGTAGCGTGTCACCACATGAGGTGGCGAAGGCACTGGCACTTTCACATAGTGATCCGGGCCCTTGATGTGCACCGGATATGGCTTCTTGACATTGATGATTTGTGGGGGCTCCCTCACTGGGTAGGGGACCTTCTCGTTCACCACCACCGGCTTCACAACCGTTGGGCCCGGCATCTGCACATGAACATACTGAGGAGGGCTTGGCACATGGTAGGTGTGGTGGATAGTGTGGACAATTGGAGCATGGGTCGGCATGGGCTCGGGCACTGGTACCTTCACTTGCTGGACCTTGGTCACCGTGTGGTAATAGTCTTTGTCAACCACAAGATGTGGGCAATACATCTTGTACTTGTAGCAGCACCAGCGTGTGTGTTGCTCCGACCAAGTTGGGTCAGGCTGAGTGCCTTGGGCTCCACAGTCATACTGCTTTGCTGGACTCATGACTTGCACATTGTGAACAATGGGTGGCTGTTCCGGCATTTGGACGTGGACATAGTGGTTCTCTGGGATCTGCCTGTAGACAGTGTTGTAGTGTCGCCTCACCAGCACTTTTGGTGCTTGTGCAGGCTCGCTCACACATTGAAGACCAGTCATGCCGCGCTGGAGAGGGCAAGAAGTGCAGCAAAAGTCCTGGTTCGCTTGAGCGGTCATGAGAGCCGCACAGTGATCAATACAAGGATCATCTTGGACGTCTCCGCACTGCTCGGTAGACCAGAAGAAGAAGAATGTGCGCACCTCGCAAATCCAAAGGAAGGGCAGCAAGACCAGCAAGAGAATGATGAATCCACACATGCCAATCAGTCCCCAGCGTGGCCTGTAGGCATAGGTTGGCTGCTCAACCTTTGAATAGCTGCCAGTGCCTGGGTTTACCTCTACCAGGCGGCTCTCAATGTGACCTTGACCAGGTCCGGTATAGGTAATGGCCTCCGTGTTGCCCTCCTGGTACCGCTGGTAGAAAAGTCCGAAGAGGTAATCGCCAAAGCCGCCGCCGCCGCCGCCAACTGCGCCACCGGCCGCACCGCCGCCTGCTGCACCACCGCCCACTGCGGCGTATCCAGGCCCAGCAACGATCACCATGGTCTGACCTTTTGAGTGTGGAAAATGACTCTATCAGTAAAGCCACTTGAGCACAAATAGCTGTAAACTGAAGTATCAACGAACACACATCAAACACGAATCCCTCCCTCCACCGACCGCTTCATAAAAACCAAACAAAGGAGAAGTGTCAATATGTGTCAATGCCTGATCTCAATATCCGTGCGGCACCGTGCTCCACAAGTTGTTCCGCTCAGAACATGCACTGAGTAGGAACCCTTTTCGAACCAATTCCGCATACGGAATCGGGTCTTCCACCGCCGCAGTCGCCGCAGCAAACCGTCGAGTTGGTGACCTCTTTAAGGTCTGAAAACCTCAACCAATCCTCAGCAGTCAAAGACTTTGGACCATGTTTGGGGGTTTCGGACCGTGGTGGCTCGGACGAAGGCGAAACCACGGTAAATCGATCCTAGGATATGGCAGGGGTTGGCGATCAGAAACATCTACGAACTTCATGAAACATCGCAAAACACAGGTGGAGATTCACCTGAAGTCGCGCCCAGAAACATCAAACCACATGTTGCTGCTTTGGTCAACTAAGCTCACGACCTGCAAGCCTGGCATGCGCTGGTTTCTTTGCGTGGCTGGCCGGATCCTGGAACTATAAATGAATATATATATATATATAATATATATACACCTGAGAAGGGGGGGACGAAAGCCAGCAGCCGCCAGACGAGTGTCTCTTTTTCTGGCGGGCGTCGCGGCACAAGACACATGGTCGGCAGCTTGCGAGTCAGCGGTGCCGCGGATGCGGGGGGGCGTACGTCGTGGTGATGGAGGGAGCAGAGAAGCAAGCCGGGCGGCTTTGGGATAAGTTTGGTATGAAAGAAATAGTGAAAGAGAAATGCGATACGTTGTATGTTGGTGTAGGTCATCATCACAAGGCAATAGCATGTTTTGTGTCGGCATGTGTTTGTCACACGCAGGAAGGTACGCATCTTATGGAAGTTGGAAGGCGACATCGGCGTTAGCGAAGGGGAAATACCGTCTAAATTCGAGTGGTGGGATACCACGCGTGCGCACTGCAGGAAGACCTTCTCTATAGTGAGCTTCGACGCGCGCGCTTGAGTACGGCGCGCGTTTGACAAGAAGCATTTATGTGCTTCTTACATTTGGAGTGTTTGAAGTTTGCAATGCATACTGCAGCGTGTCGAAAAGCGGCATTCGTTGATTTGGAAGAGTGAGCGGGCACGTCTTAGCCGGGACGGGCTGCCAGCAAAAAGGCGACGCCATGAGTCAGTAGTATATAGAACTCATGCATCTATCTATTTATCTATTTATCTATCTCTATCTCTATCTCTATCTCCATCTCCATCTCCATCTCCATCTCCATCTCGATCTATCTATCTATCTATGTATGTATGTATGTATGTATGTATCTATCTATGGGTATGTATGTATGTATGTATGTATGTATGTACGTATGTATGTATGTATGCATGTATGTATGTATCTCTCTATGTATCTATCTATCTATCTATCTATCTGCACCGGCAAGCCGGAAAACGTTCGGTGCGTGTGGACGCCGCGAGAAGCATCCACTATGCGAGTCAACCTCGAAGGCATCCCCACCGAAGCTCAATCCAAGTTCAACTCATGTCACTTCCGGTTCTCTATGGATTTCGCGAGTTACGGGCTGTCCTGAGAAGTCGTATCCTATATGCGGCTGCGGTCTGCTCTGCACGTGGGTCCCTGTCTCCACTCGATTGCAATGCCCATTGTCCAAATAGCCTCCAAAGCCGTTCATGATGCTAATGATGCACTACTTGGCGTCCATTGCATCACTCGCATCACCAAGTCCCATTTTCACTGCTTTTCTGACCCTCGCTTTGGAGCGCTCTCCCCCACCAAGCTCTGGGTTCACCCTCTCAAAATGTCCCTCTCAACACCCTCCCCCCCCCACACCCCCTTAACTCACTTCGTTCGCTCAAAAAGCTCAAGCCTAGCCTATCGGCTGGCTTTCGTAAAATATATGTATGTTATTATAGATTCACCGGGAGCTGAAGGTCCGAATGTAATTTTATGTAGAGCTCAAGGTAGACTGGACCTCTTCTAGTTCGAAGTTCATGATTTCTCTCACGAACACATCACATGGAAGTGGATGGCACCCCCTGTTTCTATAACGGAAAGTCGTCTTCCAAGGGACCATGCCATCCACTTCCATGTGATGTGTTCGTCAGAGTGTATTTCTTTGAACCGCCACCGCCTGCCCCGAGTCGCCAGCGGTGGAGCGGCTCGCACCGCAGGCGACGCACGTTGAACACGTGGCCCCATTGTCCAACGTGCATCCTTGGAGTGAACGACAGCGGCCGGGCCGCCCTCCCCAACTGTCCAACAGAGGTTGAAGAACCCTATAGGCTATCCCATAGGTATCCCAGTAGCGTCTTATAAGGTCACTTTACCTCTGTTGGGTGTCCTTGGTTCATCTTCTGAGGATTGGAGGTTACATGGTCAGGTCTGTTTCTATACGCCCAATGCTGGACCGAGCACCTCATCCGAGCACCTCAACCGATCGGACGACTGGGTTGCTAAGAGCCGGTCGATTGCAAGTCCAGTTTCCCACAAGCATTTGGGAGGCAGGCCTCGCACGGTGCCAACATGTCTGCAAGCTGGAGAAAAACTGGCCTCACTAGCTTCAGGATGTTTCCACAACGTGTAAACACAAAACACCTATTAAAACACAGGTGATGAAGTGTGAGAATACTACTCACATGGACATATTGATCCCACAATTCTCAACTGCAAGCCTAAGCCCAGCATGCCAAAAGCAAGTTGATCAGAATACGAAAAGTGTTCTGGCTCAAGAACAAGGCATATAACTACCAGTTGCCATCCACAAAAGGGAACATGAACAACATTGAACATCATCTGTATTCCCGATGGATTTTTGTGTGATCAAAAAACAAATCCTTTGACCAAGAGGCTCTCCACAAGCTGCACATTCCAGAACTCCTCGGCCACGATACGGAGTGACTTTCTCACATCTCACTTCTGCAGCATGTGAAAATCGATGATTTGACAGGACGACACAAACAGGGGAATCCTCGTCCAAAGCTTTCAGCTTCAGATCGGCCCCGGTCCAAGCGGTCGAAGCCGAAGCAAGCCGCACCTGCCGCGTTCACCAGCGTGCAGCGCCCACAGCGCCAGGTGTCGGCTGCGCGGCGCGCGCGGCTCGGTGCGGTGCCACAACCATGTGCCTTAAGACGTGGAGGGATGGAAGCCTAGTAGCGATGGCCTCGAACCTAGTAGCAGTTGGATTGAGTTGGATTGAGTTGGCAGTTTTCTGGCGGGATTTGCTGGTCATTCTTCTATGTATGAACACACTTTCAGAACATCCCAGGTTCAAAATCCTTAAAAGATAATCCATCACCTCTCACACATCCCCCCCGGGCAAGATAGATAGAAACGGTCCAAACGGTCACAAAAACGATCGTTGGAGATCTCGTTTCATCCACCGGGAGACTCATAGAGACTGGCCAAGGCTCATCTTCAAAGCGGTGTTTTAAGCACACCTTTTGACCGCAGCGCGCACAAAGTACCTGAGAGACGGTCAGTGGACGTCCGTTTGAACCGGAGATTTCGCTGACACCGCGAGGACCGATCGCGCGGGTGTTTGGGCACGTCTTGTCGGTTCCAAAAGGACGCCCTACTTGCGACGCTTTTACAAGTACACTCATGTATAGGAGTTGATGAGTCAGACTCTTGGGGATCTTGGGGGCTCTAGTTGAGGGCATCTCTTGCCCCACAAAAGTGGACGAACCTGCCACCCCCCCTCTTCTCTCTTCAAGGCGCTGTGTTGCTCGCAGTAAGTAGCTCTTTACAGCCTCTGACCGGACATCTCGCCTAGCACAGAGCGCGATCGCCGAAGCCAATTTGGTGCTATTCGGATCCAAAACGTGTGGAATTCTAGGCATAGACTTTAGCATCCTTAAAGCATCCTTTATCACTGATCACCAAGAAGTATCCATTTCCAGGATCTCCAGATACCTTTGGATCTCCTCTTTCTTTTTTTTGGCACATGAACTGTCCCCACACCAAGCCGCTCCGAACCGCTCAACCCCCCCCCTTCTTACTACCGTGAGCTCCGAACCACTCACCGCCGAGGCGGCGTTTCACCAAACGCGCTGCGCCCCGACCCCGCGCCTTCTTTTGTCGGCTCTCGGCTCCCGCGGGATTGGTACACCCATTCAAGGTGTGTCCTTAATAAGCACCGGCCGTGAACGTCCCCGTGCGGTGCGCGTTCAGACTTTGAACGCCCGCGGCGCCCGAGACCAACCCTTCCCGCGGCGCTGGAGGTGCCCCGTACCGGCCGAGTGCGTGGAAAGAACGCCAGCCGAGTTGTTTCTTTCTTTCACAAGCTGATCACGACTGGACAGTGCTTTCAGCCTACCAAGATGGCTCCGAATCGATAGGTCCTTCATGGTCCTTCTGTTCCACTTGCATTGGTTTGCCAAATTCTGGTGGTTCCTAGCTTTAAGAACTGCGGAACTGCTGTGGGTCTCAAAACTAGCCTCCCAGGGCACCTTAAAGAAAACACACTTATTAGTACTTATTAGACTTATTAGAGTATTGTCACAGTCATAGTATACTCCATCTCACCAACATGGAAGTGGAAAACACCCTGTTAGCAAAAAGAGATCTTCCGGTGGGCCGCACCTCCATGTTAAGTGAGTCAGAGTGCACGGCTGTCATGTTTTCCTTGAAAACAAGCGCCCGTCCCCATCAAGCACCTTTCCAGGTAATTTCCTCCGAGCCACTTTCCCAGGTGAGGTTCGGGTCCTCTCCCACTTCCAAACGAACGCCCTTGTCGCACAAAGGGCAAACCAGAACTCGGTTATCCAGGCCTGCGGCCAGTGGACCTGGGAAGAAAAAGGCGAGGCAAGGAATTGAGGGGCAACAGAGGCCTTTCATCCCCCGACTTATTAACTTACATCGTTTTCGGCGGTTTTGAGTGCTGTGGGGTTAAAACCATGTGAAAACTCTCCTTAGGATACGCAAGTTGCACGCCAAAAGAAGGTCAGCCACAGCTTAAGGATACACCTCACCCAAGGAGATCCGCTACAGCCTCCGTGTCCCATCACTCTTCGCAGAGACCCAGGCACGGCTGAGCTGCCGACACTGATGCGCCTCGTAGCGGAAGTGGTCCAAGCAAAAGACACCCCGACACTGACCTAATGGGACAGCAGCATTGAGCTGATGTGCTTTCTTTCTTTTTTTCTGGATTCCAAGGTTCACCCCTTGCTTGCTTGTGCTCTTTCTGAGTGTCCTTCCGTCCGGAGTCCCAAATCGCAAAGTCGATCTTGGGAAATAGGATGCGAAAAGCCTCCCCTCGACTTCTCTACACCAAAACACACTAAGAACTCATCGATGCAAACCGTTTTGCACTACTTACGTGATTTGCAGGCATGTGAGTGCGTATAACCCGCATGCCGCTCAGCGGCTGCACGTGAAGGGCAGGAAGTCCAGCCGAGAGCATTCTTTGACTCCACAGTGTGCTCCTGTATTGCTCAAGACGGCCATTCCATTTGGGAGACCACGGTCTCACGCGTGACAGCCGTGCCCAGCGTGTCAAGTCCAGCTGTTTCTGCATTGATTTGTTTGCAGTGTCTTGCTTCTGTTTATGTGATTGAACCTAACAGCATAATCATAATATAAACAAAAAAAACATCCTGAATGCCTAAATAGCCTGTGAAGGGAGATGTCTTCGTTCCTCCCCAACAAAGTATATCAAAGGGCAATGAGTTTTGGCCCACTCCCGTTTCTCTCAAGGTCTCCAGTGACGACAGTGATTGGTGCTTCTTCTCTCGTTGGCGTATGCTTCTCGAGCCAATGGCCTGGTCATGCCTGGCTTAGGTCAGAACAGCAGTTCGTACTATTCGTACTCTTTCCAAGGACTGCCAAAATCCCAGCCAGACTAGTTTTGGGGCAACAAAAAGACGCAGCAAAAAAAAACACACATCAGTTGGCAAATCCAAGCAGCCTGAACCAACCGAATTTTCCGGGTTCCAACATGTCCTCCAACCTCTCCAAAGAGCCCGCTCGCAGTTGGACGACTCGACCAAAGGTGTGGGGCCGAACCACCCCCCAAGGGGCGCCGCTGGGGCCCTGGGCATCGATCTTCCACTTGACGAAGAAGACCTGCGCGACACTCGCTGCCGGTGGATTCGACTGCCCAAACTCCTTCTCTGCTGAGCAATTCAACTGACCGTCTGACCCCAAGAAACACTTCAATTGACAATGAGAAAATATCAACAAGCCAGGACCTAGGAAACAGAACAGGGGAAACAAATAACAAGCTAAGGGGAAAAAGACACAAGCGGCCTGCAAGGTCATTCTTGCCTGCTTCAGCACTAAACCTGAGCGTCTCTCGGAACTGGAAGCATCAAAACACCAAGGTATCACGATATGAAACCTTCCAAATCGGGTGGGCAAGCTCGCTTCTTCGAACCTTCGTTGGTGAAACGATGTCATTCCGGGTAACCCATGCTTCGTTCATGCCAGTCCGAGCAGAACACGTGTTCACGCTTTTTCTCGCTGGTGCGTACGCGTTCGTGCCGGAATGACCAGCGTTCAGCGGAAAGACAAAAAGTTCAACAAACCTTTCCAGAAGTCAGGTTCATCTGAGCCCAGTCTTTTCTTCAAGACCATCTGGGAGACAGTTCTTGGATGCCCGCCCTGTTTCTTGTCTCAATAGAGCCCACTGATCTCGAGCGGAACCCGTCCGAGGCCCCAGCCACTCCGTCGGTCGCAGCAACACAATGACGACATCGTCCTGCGGAGAAGGTGCTGCACAAATGTAAGTCCACATGGCTGTGTATCAAAATAGGGAGACCTCCCAAAGCCCCCCCCTGGAAGAGGGAAAATTGGCCAGTCTACGCATTGCTTGGAGCTCTTCCTATATACACCCACATAGCTACAAGATGCCACAAGGGAAAAGAGATGAGTCACCCGGTCATGGCCCGGTGTTTGATCCAAGCTCCAATCAATTGAAACAAGCAGTATAATGTATTGAACAACTGTGCATCGCATCGCCACTCCCCACCCCCCCTGTTTCATGAAACGGGGGGTAAGTACGTCACATGTGAATCCCATAAGAATCCTCTTTGGTCATCGTCTCTTAACGGGCCTCATAGTCACACGAGAATTCGGGAGAACGATGGAAAAAAAACATCACAACACACATCTGATCGGAAGAACCACCGAATCGGATTGGGACACCCGATCTCGGCCAAGCAGCGATCTGCGGCTCTCGGCCTCCGCACACTGCGCCAGCAGCCAGCACCGCACGCCGCGCAGGTCGCCCCCGACCTGAGGAACCGGAGGGAACGGGCCGATGGTGTTCGGTGATGCCAGTGACTATAAGACCAATTGAGCCGAAAAGACAGCTATTGGAGAATCCTATATGGTGATTTAGTATATTTTAGTATGATTTATCCTATTTTACTAGGGAGCAAGCAATTTCAAACACCTCGAAGTTGGAATTCCAGAATACCAGTCATACCAGTCCGCCCGTCGCTGCCTGCAGCAAGCTCGCAGCCGAGAACACGGCCACCCGTCCTGCAAAACTCACAAGCCAAATTCTGCAAACATGGTGCAAGTCCATTGGGATAGTGATTTCCTGATTGATGTCGAAATTCCACTTCATCATACTTCATCCCAAAATGCTGCTTGGGTCCGTAGTATGGACATCATCCCATCTCCAATTCCCCAATCTTCTTCGAAGCCTTACAGTATATATGTCCAAACAAGCGCCCCCAAGAAAAGGTCCATCCCGCGCCTTCAGCAATGGCCGAAAGCCTAAGGAGACACAGACCACAAAGCAAGCTTCCGAAATGAACAGTATGAAGTTTATGAAGTTGGTCGTCAGCATGGCGGGGTAAAAAAAGTAACTCTTTGACCTGCTTCATGCTGCTTCAGCATTGAGCTACCTGCCATGATATAGCTTCTGCTGTATGAGGCCCAGCCACCTTTGATAGGAGCGACGCGATACGGCTTCTACGTGTGTGGTCTAACGAAACAGCTTCAACCATCTTCCGGTGCAAAGGTGCGATGTGGTGCGATGCTGACCTAAGTTTGCAGCCACTGCAATGTTTCTTACACGATGTCCAGGAAGTGGCTGTAGGGCCTTTGGCTGGGCCCGGGAAGGCAACACGAGGTGTTCCCGAAGGCAGTTCGAGAAGAGGACACATCTCTCAGTTCGCTAGAGGACACTTTCGAATGACGCGCGATCGGTGCTCCTTCTGCAGGCAACTGCAAATCTCTGGTGCAGGCGATCTCGGCTTGACCTGCTATAACATCAAAGACGAAAGGACACCGTTCCTTTTGGGGGGGTTCTGTAATTTCTGGCCAACATTGGTCAAAAGCACATGATGAAGAAATTGGCATAGAATTTCATCGAATCACACTGAGGATACTCATGTTTGCCTACAAAGGCGGAGACCCAGGACCTTGGTCTTCCGTCCGCTTCTTCCATGTGGCACCATTGGTGCGTCCGCTTCGGATGGAGAAGTTGCATGTCTCATGCACACACAAAGGCTAACAAACGCATTCCCAAACTCCTAACAATAAGATCTAACAAAGGACGCTACGAACGGGGCTCTTGGCCGTACTACTATAGGAGCAAGGACGCTACGTTCGGGGCTCCTGGCCTTACTACTAGCAAGGACGCACCTTCTTCGCTTCTCTTGTCTCTCCGCCCATGGGCTCCACTTCGGGGCCTTCCATGTCTCCACGTCCGCTTGACCCGCCGCGGGCACCGCCACCGCGTCCGCCGCACCCATCAAGACGGAAGGAGCGCCGGGTCTCCTCCACCAGGCACGACAGCGACTGGGCAAGAAATGCGAACAAGCTGAGTTGGTCCCAAAGCATCCCCATTGGCTCACAGGGCTTTGTGAGGGTCCCATCGGGCTTTTGATGTGTTTGTTCAATGCATTCCAAACAAATCGTTGATCGGATGATCGATGAACAGTTACCGATTTCCAGATCTCACACTCTCTCACCCTCCCATCGTTCCCAGTTCGCCTTTGCCAGGCGCCGTCATCGCACGCTGAGCTGCTGAAGAGGGCGCCATGGCGCCGCCAGGCCACGCGGCCCTTTGTGGGACGACAAGGAGCGGCCCCTTCATCATGTTTCATCCATTCTCATCAGGTTTGCATCAAAGGACGGTGGAGTCCTTCTGAAGGAAGATAGATACAACATGATGCATGCGCAACCAGCTTCTTGAAGACACGGGATGACACGGGAAGTGACTTGAACGCCCCCCATTCCATTCCTCGTCCATGTTTCTGTGAAGTGAGATCCTTCCGGCACATTTCTCAGCAACCCAGCCGCCCGGGCTCATCTTTGGACGTTCGAATGGAAAAATGGCTGGGATGTTGATTGTAGTTTTATTATTTGTTTCCGGGGTTCTTTTGTGGACATCAATTGCACATCACCAGCCAACTGGATGCCATGTCGGCTTGATGAACATCAATTCTTGGTGCTGCGGCACAGACCAGATGTTACTTGACATAGGTCAATCTCAATGTAGTCTAAACAACCAGCCATTTCATTCCGCCATCGTGGTCACATCAAGGTCTTAACTCCCTCTACTGCGCAGAATTGTTTCTTCAGTGTCACAACCACAACTAAGGGGTAGTTTGGGTGGCCTCGAGTTCCGCAAGTCCGCCGCAAGTGCGAGTTAGTTTGACGTGCTTCGTCAACTCCCTATCCGAACCTGCGGGAATCGCTCGCTTTTGTTCGACAACGAATCTGAGACAAACACTTCTTATCCGATGCCTGCGCAGCTTCTGCTGCGAGACTGTCCGCCTGCACAAGGTTGGAAGCCGTGGATGTCGTGGATGCTCAGCAAGCGGTTAGCTTTGTATCATTAGTTTGTGGCTTTGTATCGTTTGTTATCGTATGTTAGCTTTGCAAGAAGGTTGAAGAGAAACATAGAACTGTTGCATCTGTTTGTTCTTACCACCAAGTATCCCCAAAGAGGGTCAGCATGCTCACATTAGTATTAGTATTCAAGAACCTTTGCAGCTGCGCCCATGGCCACTTCGGTGGGATGAAGTGCCAAGTGTATGGGGCATCGCTATTTCCACTGGTCCATGTTCCACCATACTGGGCGATGCCCGAGCGGCCTTCAGCTAATTGCTCTTTGTGAAACAACACGATTCTGCACAGCATCGTCTAACCCGTCGACAGGATCCATGATAATGTGGGGACAATTCCACACGTGGGGTCGATTTATGTCGTTTTGGTGTGACAGCAAATTCCTGGTGCCACCCTGCTTAAAAAATAAGTTTGACTGCGTCTAAGGACTGCCACCCACAGGGTCTCATAGATTTGCCTATCACGGCAACATCGATGTCTTGGAACACAACGAAGCGCAACGAAGCACATCCGTTGGGTCCTCAAAAGTTGTTGCGCCTGTAGCACTTCTGTTTTTTCTCCAACGCAGCGACTTCGGGAGGAGCTGTCTTTGAGACCCCAGTGAAGCAAACCAAGTGAAACGAGTAGAGCATCATCCCATCATCGATGAAACAACAAATGAATCCTGAGATTTTGAAAAAATCCAACGCTCTCATCAAACCCTGACCTTCACATCCACTTGTCCAATCCGGTCCCAGCACACGATCTTCCCATCTGCACGGATAGCAGCGAAACCCTCACTTGCACCTTCTATGATCTGGATGTTGTTCAGATCAGCCTTGAATCTGCTGGTATCTGCACCTGCATGTGACATGATGTGAGACGCAAGCATGTCTGAAGACTGGTTCCACTGAACGTCTGCTTGCTAATATCACGCAATCGGTACTCGATTTTTGCTGGTAGAAACGAACATTGGGTACAAAGTGAAGTCGCAGGGAAGAATGGTCACCCCTCAAGTTTGCCATGGGCTGTAAATTCATATTATGTTCTCAACCAACAACGAACAGATTTTCACTCCCAAATAAAAAGCACCCACGGATCAGAAACCAAGAGCACCTATATGACGCATACATATCAGTACACACACATCATCTATACAGAACATAAAACACAAAGACCCTTTGCTAGCGAGTTTGTTAGGCAGTTCTGTTCTTCGGACCCTTTCGCCTCACTGTTTTTGCAAGTCGAGGGCTAGGTATTCAGTAAGTAAGTCGTTTCTGCAGTAACTAAAGTGTTAAGGGCTAATGCAACAGCGAGCCAGTTATTACAACTTATGTTCATTCATTTGAGCTATGTATCTAAGTGCGTGTTTGTGATGTGGTTGTGGTTATGTCTGTGTGTTTCTTCTTGTGTTGTTGGTTGTGTGTTTTGTGTTGAGGTCCGGCAGTGCCCACTGCGATCTGGCGCTTGCTGTTGAGGTCCGGTAGTGCCCACTGCGCTCTGCCAGTTGCTGTAACTTGCTGGCGAGGAGGAGGAGGAGAAGGAGATCTCTGATAAAATCTAACAACCCTCACCTCGCAGGTGGGGAAAAACACACACACAAAAAAAAAAGAAAGGAAAAAAAAACCACATCATACGCAAAAAAAAAAAAAAAAAAAAAAAAACACGCCATCTTCGCTCAGGCGCCATAATTGCGATCGCCCCAGCTGACCACGTGGCCATCTCCGCGCAGGGCCGCGAAGGCACCGTACGACGCGGCCACGGTGCGCACGTCCTGCAGCTCCTCCTCGACACCGCGGGTGTCGGAGACTTCGCCCCAGCTGAGCACGGTGCCGGTGGCCAAGAGCGCGGCGAAGCTGCGGCCGGAAGCAAAAAGACCTCGGAAGGGTCTTCTCATGTGTGAGTGCTTGGCTTGGTGTGTGAGTGCTTGGTGTGGGTGGGTGGCTACTTTAATGCTGGTGGCATGCCTACTAATTAGGCGGAAGGACCAAAAGGGGGGAGGTGGAGATTCAACTGGCAGAGCTGAAGTCTTCAGATTGGTGATATGTCATGGCTGCAATTATATATCAAATACACTTACGGTACTTTTGTTCACTTTGGTGCTATGTCGGACAGCAAACAACATTGTTTTCCCTTGATTCAATTACTTGCCTGCATGCATCTAAATAAACATCATCCTACTTCCAATCCTTGACACCAGGCTTTGTATCACCCACTTTCCGCCACGACACGACACGACAACACGACACGCATGAGAACACTGGACCTCTTTCCGCCACCAACCTCTTTCAACCTCCACGACACGTTGCACCTCTTTCAGCCGCTCCTGAACTTCACCTTCAAGGCATCCGCCCTTCACGGGATCTCCCCAGACGCGGACGGAACCATCGCGCAAGCGCGCGGCGAAGGCTTTGGTTGTGCCCACGATCTCCTGAAATCAGAGATCAACTGCTTTGGGTGGGGCCAAGTTCTCTGTAGATGGCACAAGTTACTTTAAGTTTGGTGGTTTATACAGTATGGGCCCCCATCTGTTCAGGACATCTTGAGGTCTGCGCCATCTAGAAAACAACTGTAAATGTGGGACTAACACTTCGAGGTCCGGTTTTTCCTTCGGTCTGTCGATGTAAAATCGAACATCGGCGTTCTTTGGTCGGGTTTTCGGCGTTGTTTGCCAGAAGCAAAGCACGAGGCATTTGGCCAATTCTGCCGCACGCGACACGACAGATCTCACGAGCGAACACACGTGTTTGTTGGGTGCAACGAAGTGTAGATGAAATCAATATACCAACATTGCCAAAACAAGTGCGTCCATTGCCTTGTAAAATCGTGCAAACATGTGATCGTTTAAGTCTCATGAATTCTGAAATGAATTCCACTCACCGCTCTTTCCGCAAAGAGAGACTGTCCGGTCGTTTGATTCCTGGACATTCTGCAAATCCGAAGGACACCGGCCGCCATGGCTTTCATCGCCCCAGGCCACCACCGTCCCATCATCTTTGAGCGCCGCGAAGGCTCCGTCGGTGGCAGCAAGGTGGCGGACATTCACCAGCTTCTCCTGCTGAAGGGAGCCGAGCTGTGCACGTGCGAAACATGCCGTGCGGAACGGACAGACCAAAGGAGGCGCTGATAAGAGGTTCTGCAGGTGTAGTATCCCAGACCATCCATGTCTGGAAGAGTTATATATATATATACCTGTACCATCCTGTACCCCATTTCTGATCCCAATGTAGGGAACTATTCCATACATGGATGGTCTGGGTATGGAAGAGATCCTCACCCAGAGCACCATGCAAAGAGGACTGTATTGACCAAAAAGGTCCAGGTTCCAAAGAGGCCCCTTTATCTGTCATTGATCTACATATCTTCATCCATCATGTATGTGACCTGTATGTGTGTTTTTTTTGTGTGACCTTTGTAGAAGCAGTAAAGCTTTTTGTGTTTTTCAAATAAAACGTTCTATATATTTGCCTTTGTCTTCTGAAACTCGTGAATCCAAGTGCATCTGAAGCCAAGAGGTCATGCTCTTTTCACATACAGCTGCGCTCCTTGACACTCTCAGAGGATCCACCAAAGGCTTCGTTGCCCCAAGACACGACGCGACCATCCTTGCAAAGTGCCGCAAAAGCACAGAAGGCTGCGACCACCAGCTTCACGTTTTGAAGCTCCTCCTTCACCGTCTGGCAGTCTCCACCATATTTCTTATCCCCCCATGCCACAACAGTAGCATCCTTCAGCACTGCGGCAAACGCACGTCCTGAGGCAGAAATCCCTGTGACAGCCGTCAACTCCTCTTTGTGACCGCCCAGGGCAGCGCCATAATCCTTGTGGCCCCAAGTGACGATCTGCCCATCGCCGCGCAAGGCCGTGAAGGCACTCTGTGAACCAGAGATGTCAATGACATTCTTCAGGTCTTCTTGAACCGGTGAGCTATTACCTCCTTCCTGGGGCTCTCCCCATGTAGAAACGCTGCCATCGGAACGCAGCAATGCGAAGGAATCGGATGCCCACGCCTGTGTCTTCCGAATGGCCTGCAACTTCTTCACCTTACCAAGGCAAGCTGTGAGAAGGTCTCCAGTTTGGATGCCTTCTTCGTGCAACTTGGAAGATCCAGCTAGAAGCCTACCCTTGAAGATCAAGCCGCACACATCCTCCAAGGGGACCAAGTTTCGAAGCTCCTCCACTGCAGAACAGCTCTTACAGCTCACGGTCATGGGCTCACCACCCAAAGGTTGCAGAATGATCGACAGGCTGGCACTTTCGGAAGCGCCCCGAGGGGTAGCAGCTGCTGTATACACGATCCGCTTAAACGCATCCCTGGTTTCTCGGTCAGTACTGGCACCAGCACCCATCGCTACTCATATAGTGTACAATGGGTACTCCACCTGTAAAGCGGGGCGTTTGAGCCGACTAGTCGGTGCGAACGTCGACCCATCAGCCCCAGTTGACCAAGTGTACCGGGTCGGCACAGCAACAACGATCCTATCAACTGCAAAACCTGCCTTTGGATGGCTAGCTTGGGCATGAAGAAAGCGTTGCAAGTCGCTGTAGTGTATCTCTGCATATATCAACAGTGCCTGGCATGACAATGAGCCGAACAAGACACAACAATGACATACAAGGCTAAACAGCAAGACTAAGAGGTCCAGGAAAAAGAACCTGCCAGCCGCTAGCCCAACTGCCTGCGTCCATTCCAACTGCCTGCGTCCGGGTGCGAGAGCGACCGGGATCCGAGCGGTTTGAGCGAGCCGACCTTCGATCGACCGGTGGCAGATCGATGGATCGCATCACAGTGAGAAGGCCACAAGTTACGGATCTTCGACTGGGCATGGTTTAACATAGTGAGAAACCATGTGAAAAACCTAGGCAAAGTGCAAACTCAACATGGATCGTTGATCCTTTTTTCCGGGCCAGTTTGATTTGTGATCTGTACAAACTGGGAGGTTCAGTTCTGCTGTCGTGTCAGGTTCATGTTTTTTTTGTGCCTTTCTTCCCAGTGTGAGCCCGCCGGATACCAGCCTTGGGCAAGTAGAGCGCTCTGGGGGGGCCAGGAGATCTACATCACGCATCCGCATCCAGTATAGGCACCTCAAACCGCCAAAAATGGCTGCCAAAATCTCAATCATGAAAAGACAAAACGACAGAGTGCCCGTCTTTCGTCTAAGGCAACACATTGTTTTTGCCAATCTGCAAGCCCTATTGAAAGATTTGGTTGAAAAACACCAAACACTGTTCTTTGACATCCATTTTCTGCTGTGAAGTCGTGTCCCATCATCTACTTCTAGTCATTCTGTGCAACTGCTCTGTTCATCGGGCCATCCATGCCTTCCCCCTACAGGGCTAGCCCCAAATGCACAAGACCCAAGCATGTTTGAGCACTCTAAGAAAGAAGCAGGCCTGTGCCACGTGCACTTCAACTCACGAAGGATGTAAGCAACAGGTAGAGCAACCACAAGCAACCACGGCAGCTGTCACCAAGTGACGTCAGTATGTGTACTCAGCCTCAGTTTCTTTCGGGAGCAAAGGCTGTTGAAGCTGCTGAAGCTATAGAATGACGAAGTGAATATTCACCAATTGAATATAATCTATGCTGTCTCAATGTGCATCAAGGACCTATTTACCACGAGGAAGTGGTTAGGATTATTTCACCGAACCAAATTGGTCCAAACATTCCAGCACTGACGGCGCTGATCAAAAATACAACATCAGCGCTGACACCGATCTGATAAAACGATAAAATACGCTGATGCTGACTGTGTCTTTGTCTGCAAGTCTTGTCTGACCAGTCTCTATTGCATCTCTGCTTGTGCGCTTCGCGCGCAGAACAAGATGAACAATCTTGTCAGGCAGATTCTTCTCTCTCTCTCTCTATTCTTTAAGATCGAGTCGGTGATGGCCACTACTGGTCAGTTTCAGCTTTTGGCGAAGCGGACATCAACTGCTTCTCCCCAGGTTGTTTCTATCCGTGCCGAAAATGAGGGTTCCCCCAGTCGCAATTCTGTCATGATGATCCCTCTTATGATCAATTATTTTAAAGAACAACTTGATGCTTGAAGTGTAAAGGCTTTATTAACATCCACTAAATGCATACTTCGTCATTGATTTCGAGTTTTCCGTGTGACATGGGTCTGTAAACATCCGCAACGATCCCCACGCCACGGTCATCTACTTCACGGACAAGTTGCAATCCATTTTGCGACGCTCGTCTTCGACGTCACGGCCGCTCCTACGTCAGATCGATCGCGGCCGAAGCGGTGCGAAGCGTCACGCGGGTCGTGTCTTGTCACGCGGGTCGTGTCTTGACACGCGACCCAGTCACGTGGCCGAGCCGATGCCCCAAAACAACCGTTTAATCATTTGACGAAAACATATTACATCTTCATGGACTACATTTGATTGAACTTGTTGAAGACCATTTGCATCTTGACCTCTTTGCAGAATGTGGAATCTACAATACACGTTCATCATGTGGCCAGATCTAAGGAGGAGAAGGGCGCACTTGACTAGGGAGGTGAAAGATGATTATAAACTCTGATTTGCTGGTCAACAAATCCGCTTCATTTGCTTCAACTTACCGAGTGCTTACTCTGCGAGGCTGTGAAGTTGATGCTTTCCTGAGATGTGAAACTGCGTGTGGTGCTGTATTTGGCCGGAACTTAAACGTGGGCCCTCATCCGAAAGTGGGTTGCGAAAGCGCCTTTCAGATGCACTAGATCAAGTGATGTCGCGCAAAAAAACGCAGTCAAGTCAAGTCAAGGAAGTGAAACAGGTCGTGAGGCCATCTGAGCCCAGATCATCGTGTGCGGAAATAACTATGAATCTATGAACATAGATGAACATCACTGAACAGCAAAGGAGTTCATTTTTGTGAAACAAGTCGAGGCACAAGAAGGCGCATACATTGTCATGAGTGAGCGAGTGAGTGGGTGGGCAGGTGAGTGGGTGGATCAGTGGATGAGATTGAGATGGAGAGAGAGAGGGGGGGAGAGGGGGAGAGAGCAAGGAACCAAGAGATCCAGGGACCACCGGCACAAAGATGTTCCAACCAAGGCACGTCAGCAGAACCTACGATCCCTACAAAGAGCGAGCAAAGGGGGAGGACCATGAATTAAAGAAGCTCCCCTTCCCCTTCAGATCTGTACTTCCTCCAAGTCAAGGTGGCAACCTCACAAGGCAGCTGCACACGAGGCTGTTTTATGTAGAAGAGGCTAGGTCCTACCAGCAAGGGGCTGCATTTCACATAGAGGTTCTGCAACATCTGTCAAGTTGAAGATTCTGGAGAGATAGCTTCGCTCTGAAATACTCTGAACTCCCTTAAACAATCAAAAACACGCGATCAAAGACTTCGCATTCAAACAACCTGTCAGCCAACATTAGCCAACCAATTGAAAAGAAAAACTGCAATGAAAAGTGCAAGCAACATTCACGCCCAAAACAAAAGCGACATTTCTTGATCATCTGCAAAACTCCTCCCGGCCTGTGGATCATACGAGTGCAAATCATTCAGCCGACCTCGAAGAATTGCTTCACACATGAAGCCGACAAACCTCATCACCTCATCCCCTGCACTGAGACCGCCGCCGTTGCCATCATGTCCGCCAAAGATCAGCATCACGCCGGTGATAGAACTCCACACGGCCGAGTGGGAAGACCGTGCTGCGGGCGCTGAGCCGCTTGGGGCAAGTAGCTGCCAGGCATTTGCCTGTGGGCGCGCGAAAGATTCGCCCCAAGAACAAAATAATATAAAATGTTTAAAAAAAGAAACATATGAACAAGACAACCTTTGGCCCCACAAAGCCCCAAAACAACCGTTTAATCATTTGACGAAAACATATTAAATCTTCATGGACTACATTAATTAAACTTGTTGAAGACCATTTGTATCTTGACCTCTTTGCAGAATGTGGAATCTACAATTCACGTTCATCATGTGGCCAAATCTAAGGAGGGGAGGGGCGCACTTGACTAGGGAGGTGAAATATTGTGATAACTTGTTGGTACACAAATCCGCTTCATTTGTTCAGTGTTTATTGTGTCAATCGGATGTCTTCTTGTGATTGGGCTCTCATCCGAAAGTTGGTATTGAGCTGAATTACACTCTTGCACACCACTTTCGGTTCAAGCGACATCGGCTCACGCAACCAGTCCAAAGACACGGTAAGGCCATCTGAGTCAAGACAATGATAATTGTTTCCTTTTGTTGTGGGGCTTCGGGGGAACTTCCACGAGCTTTCGCGGCTTCCTACGGATACCTACACTGTACGTGTGGATTCTTTGAGTGGCACCAACTCGACCCCTTTCACAGGTGAAATTCTGAAATTGGTCGACACTTCCTTTGTGCTGCAACAAACCATAATATTGCTTGCCTTTTTTTCTTTTGTCTTTTTGCTCTCACTGGCGAATGAATGAGCATCCAGCACATGCGCTGGTATGAGTTGATCTTGCTTCACAGCACCCAATGCTTTGCACAAAATGAGGTTGCACACATGAAGAGGAAGAACGATAGAACAATAGCTGGCTCAGTCGAGACCAAGCTACATGCACATGATGAGCTGATTTCTGACCCCCAGATCGAACAGTTTACGATATTCTGTTGAGATGATCGTGCGCATTCGTGCGCCAAGTAAAACAAGAACATGAACGTACATACACGAACATCACAAAGCATCATGAACGTCAAAGAAAGCAAAATAAATGATAGATCGGGACTGTTAGGGAGTTGTGTTGAGGTGAGTTGAAACTGAAGTGCAAAACAACAACGATGAACTAAGACCAAAAGCGCTTATGCTGCGCTCTTGCAGTTTTGGAGGCAATGGGCCGTCAAGTCACGAGCTGCGCAGTCCAGGCTGCGCGATAACACCAAAATGAATCAACACAAAAAACATAAGTATTTTAAAACATCTAAAACCCATGTTTCAAGCTTTGGATTTCAGAACACTTGGCAGCCAACCATCTTGAAAATTACTGCAGAGTTGAACAAATGAAAAGCAAAACCATTAAACACGGCTGACCTTTCCGGTCAATACATGTCCATATTCCATGTTCGTCTCTCTCATCCTCCTATCCGGTTCGCCTCAATCGTGAAAGCCGCGAATCCCGCGCGGTGGGCACGCTAGAGCCGCCCGCGCCGCTGGGGGCAAGTGGCTGCCACAGGTGCCACACATCGGCCTGTGGATAACACCGACGGACCGGCACGTCGGTTCGTGCGTGTGAACGGATGGTGAAGGAGTTTTTCCATCTCTGACCTTCAAAAGCTTTGAGTTTGAGCATGAACTTCATCCTCTAAGTGCACTGTGCCTTCCACTGGTTGATCTGCGCGAAGAGAGTCAATCAAAACCAACCGAAGGCCACCGTACCTTGCGATCCAAGGCCGTGAAAGCGCCGTGTTTGATGTCGAGCACTGCGCTCAGATGGCAGCGGCAGCCACACGCAGCCACATCATGCAGCCACATGATCTTCCATGGCAACGCAAAGCAAGGCTCTGTTGCAACTGTGCTCATCCTTGATTGACGGCTCTAATGCTGTGACAACCACCTGTAGGAAACCCACTTTACAGAATGAGCTCAGCTGGTCTTTGCCAATCTCCCTATGTAAGCTGTATCCTGTATCCTTTAAAGATTGTATCGGTTTGGTCCTTTGCGGCCAAGGCTACCACACTCACAGTGCACAGTGCATCACAGCCACCCTCAGAATGCTGTTTGTGATAGTCAATACTTATAGAACATCTTGATTTTTCCGCATCTGTCTCTACGTGGCCAGCGTGGCTGGCGCGGCCGCCCTGGCGTGGCTGGCTCATGAGCACCACGAAGCACCATGAAGCACCACGCCGTCGGCTCAACGAACACCACCCAGTCTGCGGATAGGCTTCAGTTAGACAGGGATCGATGGACAGTTGGATCCGGTTTTGGCGGACCTACCTTAACAGGAACACTTCAGGCGCTCTTCAGACTCCCGGTCCCCTGTGCTCTTTCTACGAAAAGAGCTGCCCCCGGTACAGTTAGACCCTCAGTGTGGTGTTTCTTCCACCACTTTCAGACTTTGAGCCGCAGCAGGTGGCGAGGCGTTGTCTCTGTCAGACCGAAAGCACCACTTGGCAGAGACTGACTTGAGTCAGCTGCGAGGAGAGTACAAGCACCACCTTCCAGCACCGAGGAGAGTAACGAGGGATGACACCAACCTGTCCTCTGGATCATCCGGCAAACAATGACACCATCCACACGCACGCGAGCGAAAATGTCACAAGCTACCATGCTTCCCGTTCCTGAACTACAGCGTCTTAAAGTTGATGATGGCAGCAGCAGCAGCAGCAGCAGCAGCAACAGCAGCTGCTTCTGTGTCAATGAGCGCACTGGATGCTTTGCAAAAGCAAGGCTATGTTGCAATAATGCCCATCCTTGATTGACAGCTCTCATGCTGGATATCCCCATTTGCCAGAATATTCTCGGCTTATCTTTGAGAATCTATCTTCTGTACCAGAGCTGTATCCTTATCCTTTGAGGTCATGCTGTATCTGTTTGGACTTTGGCCAAGGTTACGAGTACCATGTTTGCAGCGCATTACAGCTAGCTCAGGATCTCTCTCTGTGGGAAAGGTCCAATGAATAGGAGCATGAGCAGGAGCCCGACACACCAGCCACATGAGCAGGCAGCAGGCGCTTGCGAGGTACCAACCCAACAAGCAGGGATCCACAGTAGGGCTCAGAAAGGGCTTCGCCAAATATCATCGAGAACGGTTCGACCAGCCTGGGCAGGCCTACATTATAAGAACTATGTATAGAGCAGCAATCATTACAGTAAGGAGGCCGTCCATCTAAGAAGCACATGTCAGTGGGTGTCTCGTTGATCAGATATTCAGAACGCGCACAGAACCAAACGTGACGACGACACTTTTTGCGTCAGTAGCTGCGGCCGAACAAGCACCACCTGGCAGCATCAGGAAGAGAAGAATCACGACAGGAGACTGTCTTAGCCTGGCGGCTCTTCGAATCTCCAAACAAGTGAGACATAGTGAGACTATAGACTGACACATTACCCCATTACGTGTCTTTTAAGTAGATGTCTTCTCAAAAATGTCTTCACCCATCATAATTTCTATCTGGCTATGACTTCAGTGTCACATATTTGTCGCCCCATCACATGTGAGCCGCCGGCCACGGGTCCTACACTTCACGTGGCCACGAAAACCACACCTTCTTGCGGGCTCTCCTGTAAAGAAGCACTTCGTACCGCTCGGCAGTGGTGGCTGGTCAAACCTTGCATGGTGGTGTGGCTGGTCAAACGGGCAGGAGTCTTTGACCCAGTCACATTGTGTTCATCTACTTCTCCTACCACCGAAGCTAGTTGCATCACAAGAAAGTGTTGCATAATCACAACGAGCTCACTACAAGCTCCGGGGCAGAGGTCGAGTCGACTGAGGCTGGAGCGGCAAGCAGAGGCTCTTCATCGCACCAGTCTGCAAGATTTCACATGGTGACCCGGCCAAGACTCTGAAGGCACACTGAAAGTGAACACAACGAATTAATCCCAATGGAATTCATTAGACTTCTACAAAGCGGTCAGAGTCATGTTCTTTTGCAAAACCTTTTCTCATACACCCGGCAAACCAGCTCTTTTCCTTTCTGAGCCAGCTTGTCTACCATTCGATCATTTCCACAGTCCGATGTCGAAACGGTCCAAAACCAGGAAAAAAATCATTGACCAATCTAGTATACTGTTTGCTCCCTGTTCTCAAACACTACATGAAGATCACGTCACCAGTTTTGGCCCGCGCACCAGCGCAGCTTCCTTTCCATCCTCTGCCTGGATTCGGCCGAGGATAGGCATCAGCACGATGACACAGGTCCCGGTGGTCCACCCAATGATGGAATTAGTGATACCACCCGATGGTAGATAGAATTGTGTCATTGTGGTCCACCCAATGATCTCGATCGGCCAAGTGCTAGACCTGGACTGGAAGTTTCAACCTTGATGTCGCAAAGAAACAAGCCCCTTCAAAGGCCTCCCCTCCCCAAAAACGGGTCGCTCGCTCCCCCAAGCAAAGCACTGACCTCTGCTCGGTTCACAAGTTCTCCACCCTCACATCCCCCGCGAGCGGTACCGCTCTGGCGCAGCGGCGCGACCGGCGAACGGCGGGTGGGGCCTCTTTCGTTCGCCGCCGGATGAGCAGCTCCGACCTGAGAGGGGGGACCAAAACGCCTTCACCCCGACCGGTGGGGGGGGTCGTGGCCAGAACCTACGTGGCAGCACCGCAAGTTTACCGCATGGCAGTACCCATCATTAGACGTGGGAATCGTATGGAATCGTGTGACACCCTGGGGCTTTGGTTCATTCTATTCTGATCTGATCTCCACCGGTTCTTTTTTGAGATCATTCGAGATCATCCGAGTTTTTTTTTTAGGTTCACCTCTCACCTCTCATCATTCCACCATATTCCACTTCCATCTTCTCCAAGGCCACCACGCAGCAGTCTCACACCAGGGAGCTAAGATGAGTTTCTTTTGCTTCAGCATCGGCACGACCTGCACGAAAAGCGCGCATTGGTCTTGTCTTCACCGCAGTGGTGGTGGCATCCGAACGTCTATGGTCAGCGGTGCCTCACTCCAGTCCATGACCTTGGCAATGCCAGCATCGCGCTCCTCAGTGGCCTCAAAATCAGGGGGGGGTACGAAGAAGACCCGAAAAAAACTCATCGCGTGCAGAAAATGGCCTGAAAAATGAGCTGCCATCAATGGCCCTGTGGGTCATGCCTGGAGAACTTCTCTGATTAGTTGAAAACAGCCAGCGACCGTGTCCTGGATATGATGGATTTTGAACAGTTTCACATAAAGGGACACCACGTTGTAGGTGATTCATGCAATGCCACATGGGTAATGCAATATGTGTATGCTCATGTCTGTGCTACGCCATGGGGGGGCCAGTCAATGGAAAGAAACGATCAAAGTGAATGGCGATGCACGCAATCGACACCCGCTGTCGCTGTGCCTTTCGGAGCATGGCCGCGTGGATGTCCTTCAAGTCATCTCTGACAATGGCCGCCAGCTGTGACTGCTCCACATCCTTTCTGCAAATGAGGAGACTTCATGTCAGCTGCTTCAGCACTTCAAAAGAACTGAGCTGAAGAGTTCGGTTCCAGCGATGGCCTCCAACCCACTAGCGATGGCCTCCCTACTGCGGAGTGCGGCTCCACTTCCGTCCTTCGTCGCCCCCGACCTCGCTCCACGTGGCGCCCGAACTCCACGTCCGCTCGCTCGCCCCGAAGCCTCGCCTTCTTGGAGCCATCCAGGCGCCGGACCACTCGGCACGTCCCACGATCCAGGTCCCGTGGCCCGACCTACCGAGCCCGGGTCCGACGGGTCCCGACGGGTCCGAAGCCGAGAGGGTACCGATGACCCCAGCGGAGAAGCTCTCGGAGCCACCGACCAACGAGGCGCTGATTTGGGAGAGTCGATGATTGGTCTCGTTCCCGTTCCGATCGAAAAAAAGGAAGTGACACTGCACCGCCTTAGTCTATACGCCTATATATACATATATACTGATTCAACTTGGTATACAATATGGTGTTTTTGTAGCCATGATCCCACAGATGTGCATCGTTAGTTAGGTGTGCCATGCCCAGTTGACGCTGCGAGGTGCCTCCACTCTCAGTGGCACACCTTTCAGCTCCCACCTGAGCTCGGCTACGGCTTGGCTAAGGGTGGCCAACATCCCAAAGGTCCAAAAAATCGGGAACTCTCAAGCGACGCTCAAAACGAGCCGGTGACCTCTGTTAGGTCGTCACTCCTCCGTCGCAAGTCGGACGGACCCGGACGGAGCAATCAGGACAGAGCAATCAGGAGCTGTTGTCAAGAATTTTAAACCTGTCCTACTCGACATGTCTGCTCACTATATCGAAGATAGATCATCTTTGGCGCATCTTCGAGCGGAAAGAACACCGTGTTAATAAAAATACAAAAACAAACAAACAAAACACACTCACAGAGAGCCCATGAGCTCCACACCAGTTGAACTTCCAACCAGGCGTATAGTTGCCTCGAGCATCCACCTGGACGCAAAACCACCAAAAACAGACCATTCTGCTGTGGTTTTTGGCACAAACTCTTAAGAAACCAGGAATGCATCTTCTGTAGCTCTTGGAGTACAAGTCCGGGAGCCACTGCAACTTGGAATCCAGCTAGTCATAGCTAGCCAGACATGTCGTCTCCACGCCACTGCAGCTTTCACTCCCTCACGGACCGAGTTTCGAAAACTGCCGAGTTTCCCTCACGGACCTCTGCGCGGATGCCATGCAGCTTCAACTCCTCCATGAGCTGCCAGCATTTAAACTCACCTCGGGCTTGGCACAGCTTCTGCAGAAAACCCTGGAAAAGCTGAAGGCCGGCGAAGCCAAGACAAGCCGTTGCCGTTGCCATCCCTTTCGCGGCGCAAATCGATGCGTCTTTTTAAACTTCTTGCTTCGACTGTTCCAAATCTTGTCCCAGCGCTGAATCAATCGTTCGATCTGTCCGACTACACGGCTGGTGAAGGAGGCCACCTGCAAAGCCCTTCGATCTTCCCGCTCGAGGTGCCGTCGTTCTCGCTCCTCCCAGCGGCGCATCACACGTGCGCAAAGCTGCTGACGACGTTCCTCCTTGGCCATGCGATAGGCGTTCCAGGCAGCTAACTGGCAGTGGTGTTGTTGCTCATGACGCTTCCGCATGGATTCCAGCTTGCGGCGGATCTTGGCCTGCGGATCGGGGTGATCGAAATCAGTGAAATTGATTGGGTGTGAAAAGGTACACAGCTCACTATAGGAAAAAAACTCCAAAACAAGGGGAGCCCTGTACATCCACTTGGTATCAGTGATGCGGGCTTCATTTCCCGGATCATGCGGGGCAACTAAACAGAACCGAAGAAAACAAGGACGGGGTTGATCAGAGAATCAACGGCAACCGTCTGGCACGCACTTGACATACAATACAAATATATCCTCCAAAGACTGACAGTCAGAGTGAAACAAGGATGTGGTATGCTGTATTGCTTCAGAAAGGGCAAGTTGTCAAGGAGAACTGGTTGCATTTGTTGAATAAAGTTGAATAAAATACAATCAACTGTGCCAGCCGCCAGCCTCGTTGCAGCCCGACTCCACCCAAATGTCGATAAAGATTTGACTGATCTTCTGCCAGGCTTCTTCAACTGCTGCTGGTGTGTGTTGATAGAAGACTCCACCTCGTTTCGCCCCAAGACCACTGTACTGCAACCTGGACTGTTGCAGCTTTTGCCAAATCACCATTCCACTCTGCAGTCTGCTGATGGGATATGTGGGTGAACGAAGCCCACTGCCGGTCCAATGATGGACCGGAAAGTGGACTCGGAACGACAGCCTCGCCTCGCGAAGCAGCAAATCATGTTCCGACATGGAGGAGTCCAATGCTTCCGGAAGCTTCTCCCAGAGTGCCGGTGATTTCAAGATCCGTTGCTTCAAGGAGGTCAATGCCATGTGTACATCCACAGCTCGGGCCAAATCAGTCGTCCCCCCAGCGAAAAGCTCCAGGTTGTTGATGACCACAATGACACAGTAGAGCTTCACTCGTCCTGGTCTTCTTATGATGCCTTTGCTTGCTGTCTTTGGTGGCAACTTTGTCTCTTGTGGCACGTCCTCCAGAGCCAGGATTTCCTCCTCTGAGAAGGAGGTTTCTTCTTCAAATGCTGGGTTCGAGTGGTCACAGCTCTTGGTTTTGGACTCTTCTCGACACTCTTCTTTCTTCCTCCACGCTACATGCTGCAGCCAAGTCTCCAGCGCCACGCGATGTCGTTCTTGCAACTTGGTGGCAATGGCCATCTTCCGGTCATGTCGTTGCAGCTTGCTCAACAAGGAATGCAAGCGCTCCATGATGGCCTCCACGGATTTCCGCCGCACCGACCGAGAGCCGCCCAGGCCCGAAGCCACGCCCGCAGCGGCCCTTCCGCTACGCCCTTCGGCCCGCTTCGCGGAAGCCGCGAAGCAGCTGCCGCTGCCGCTGTGGGCCCCTCTCCGCGCCGCAGAAGCCGCCGCGACCGGTATGGCACGGGCACCAGTCGCTTCCAACGCGGCCTTTTCGAAGGCCAGCATCACTCGACGGAAGTCCTGGGCGGAACCTCCCTTGTCCGGATGCGTTTCGAGAACTTTGCGTTTGAAGGCAGCACGAACATCTGGGTAGGGCGCTGAGCGCGACACGCCAAGAATGAGATGCCAACTCATCAACAACAAACTCAACACGCCTCAAAACCGGCACTCACTCTGCTTCTTGCTCGGCACAGAACCCGAGATCGGGACCATGGCCAGGCCATGAGCGTCTTCGGCTATGTGAAGCTGTTCTGGAGAGTGACTAGTTGCATTTAGCAAGAAGTACTTCTACTATAAATGTATATATATATTAGTATTTCTACTATCTTATAATAAATTTACTATATAGTGGTCAATAGCTGGGAGACATCATTTGCTAGAGCTAAAAGGTTGCCGAACCCAGACAAACCCAACTCCGAGGCAATCAAACCGAACACTGTAGGAGCGGATGGATCACATATGAGATCACATCATCGAAGGCCATTCTTGTGCTGATCAATGTCGAACTGAACATGAAACATCATCCTTGACTTCGCTCTTTGACTTCGCTACCTTCCCCCTGAAGCTCCTGAAGCTCCATGCACATGTGGGAATTAAGGTCTTTGGCTGGGTGTATATGATAGAGTATGATTCTATGATGTCTTTGTGTGTGTTTTTTCTTCATGTCCTTCTTCTAAAGCTCAGTCAGAAGGTCTGCAGGAGCGTCCAAGCGTCTGTGGTTCGGGTCCCTCAGCGACCCTGCATGACGAACATCCATGACGACCATCCATGACGACCATCCATGGTCATCATGCGCACACCTTATAACATGAATTAGAGGTTCATCAACCAGGAGGTTTATAAACGGTTTATATGTGTCTTCATATGTTTTCACGGGCGTTTAATTTTGCCCGAGAGACATCTGTAAAGCCGAAGGACAATTATTCTGAAATGCTACTGTATTATGTCATTGTGGATCAATCTGCCATGACCACATGGTGGTTGTACTTCCGAAGGCAATGCCTAATGTCTTCATGATCCTTCAGCACGTGATCACGTGCTCAATTGCTTCAAAGTTGGTGAACAAAACAGACTTCAGAATTTGTGAAACTCTAGTTTCACTTTCGATCTGGTGATCTCTGTCACTTGTAAGATCTTCCACACTCCCGGAAAGTGCCAGGACCGCAAGACATTCGCAACACACAGGTGACCTGCTGCATCTCCCTTGCTGGCAATGGGAATTAGAACGACCTGCAGGACAGGCCAGAGGTGAAGACGGGTGAAGTCCTTGTTTTTGGAGGAGGGCAGCTACAAGTAAACCTTTTGCCCTATTGGGTTTATCTTACAGTGGCTGATGATGGTTATAGTAAAGGCCTTTCTCTAAATCAATAGTGATGATAACTAATGACTGTTTACCGACTGTTACAGGTAATAGGACAGCCTCAAGCCCTACATTTCCCAGTTCATGTATGTCCATGTGAGGTGTGTGAAAAACCGTCGGCAGTTGGTCAAGGCCCGTCCAGTTGGACTCGACCTTATGGGGTTCAATGGATGTTCATCTCCCGTTGAAGCGACTTTGCAGTGCTGGTGCCCATGCCAAGCGCTTCGCGCGCTTCGCACCGCTTGGCACCTGCACCGGCGCCACTCTGGGAGGTAGCACCAGGCCTTTGTCGTCGCCATGCACCTGGGAAAGAAGTCCAGACATGCCCTGAATGCCCACAATAGTATATTATGGACATATGTCATATTGGGCCCTAGAAGACCCTCCTACCATGGGCTCTAGAATACTCTAGGTCATGGTAGGAGGGTCTTCTCAAGTCTTCTCCTTCATCCGTCAACCTCACGCTGCCTCATTGACTCCTCATCGTTCGCGCCGAAAAAGGGGTGACCACGCGTCCCGACCACCCTATACATCCATCGTCCTCGTCGCGTCCGCGTCGATGGTGGTCCAAGGCGCCATGATCATGATTCCCAGGGACCGAGTCGTCATGCCCCAGGAGCTCCTCGGGCGAAGCGTTCGCGCGCGAAGCGCGTAACTCGCGTCACTCACTCGTCGAGTACGCCGTACGCGCTCTTGGTGCTGGGCTGATGCACCAGTTGCCTCCGACCCGAGTCGTCCTCAAAGTGGATCCCGAACCTGGAGAACGTGCAAAAACGAGAGACCAGCGGCTCGTCACGTGTGTCCGGGGCGCATGTTCAGCTTCTGTGGTCGGAAACGATCTGTGCTTCAGATTTATTTATGTTTTAAAGATTTACCCCGTCTATCGCGCTCCTTCTTTCCTGAAACACACGCACGCACACACACAATAAAGTAAAACACAAGAACATGGCAGCCGGACATCTCGGCAAACTTCTGCCCCAAATGGTGGGACGTGGCTGCCTTGCAAACGGATCTGGGCCCTTGGACGCCCGAAAATGGACATAATGTTCATAGACTCATAGACCGCTTCAATCAATCTGAATATCCGTGAGATTAACGAATTCAAAGCAAACCAGGGAGACCACAGGACCCACAGCTCCACCAAAGAAGTGGCCTCTTCACACCGAAAACTTCATCGTTCTATGTTCATCCCGAGTCGCGGTGAACTCGAACAACGAGAACTCGAACTCGGGAACCGAGTCGCGGTTCGCTGCGCGGCCTGGATTCCGCGGCCGGTGGCTGGAATGAAGACTTCCAAGGTCTGGCTATGGAGACTTCCAGCAAACTTCTCCTCTGCAAGATCGCCGCAGGTCGGGTTCCAAAACACCTTGGGAACCGGAAGAAGAGCAAACCGCCAGACCTTGACCTTGGGACCTCACCCTGGTGGGCAGGTGTGTAATATATCGCCAGCCTCAGAAGAACAAAGTGACGCAAGTGATCAAGTGAAAAAGGTAGATGAACTCCCTGACTTTCATGGAAGGACTTCAAGGTGAGGTTCAAGGTCCGTGTGCCACCCGTCACTTTACCGTCCGTGGGCCGACCTAACGACAACGGTCTCGGTCCAACTCTGGACGAGTCTGGACTGGTCCTCTTCAGACTTCATTCCCTTAAGGACCGGCACTGCCAGCAGCTCAGTATACCTGCGAAGAAAAAAAGCATTCATATAGAGCGGTGATAGCTTGGGACGACCGTGATAGCTCATCTGTGTCACGGTGTGGAAGGCTCATCTTGGGACTGTGAGAGCTCATTCAGCTTCTGGTCTTTGAGTGGAAAAGACCGATCAAAAGAACAACCCGACCTGTCCCAAAATCCGATTTCTTCATTTGTTGGAACATGTTGGAACCCTTCACTTGCAGAGCGGTCGTGACATGTTTGACATGTTTCGCTTTCAAGTACTTTCTATACATCAATTCGAGGATTATGCTTTGCACTTGAGCTTGAGGCCATCGCTCTTAGGTTGGAGGCCACCACTATTAGGTTGGGGTGGAGGCCATCGCTCTTAGGGTTCCATCTATACTATACCAGTACTCCCCCCTGTTCAGGCGCACGTTCGCTCATAGAGCTCCAACGCAGCATCCACCATCTCCTGCGCCTCCTCTGCTGTGGCATGGGCCGTGTGGCCTTCCTGCAACGAAATCAATGCGATCTTCATTGAGTCATCCACAAAGAGTTCCCGTCCAGTTGGGCCATCACAGGACCTGTGAGATCTGGTGTTCGGGTGTCCAGTGTTTGGTGTTCTGAACGCGAACGCAAACAGCTTGAGCTGCTTAGCAACCTACAGCCCATGAACAAAGCATCGCCAGCATCAGCGTCCAGGGAGATCGACAGTTGAAGCTGCAGCTTGCAAAGCCATTACCGCACACATCGCAAGCACAAGCACTTTCATGTTTTTTCAAGCATTGATACCTCATTGTTTTCCAAGCAGCATCACCAGCATCATTCCTTGCGAACGCAGCTTGAGCTGAAGGTTTACAGCCCATCAAGAAGGCAGCAGTGTCAAGGGATATCGATAGTAGAAGCTGCAGCTTGCAAACCCATTGCATCGCGAGCACAAGCACGTTCCTTTTTTTTCAAGTATGGACATCTCATTTGTTCATTGCGCTTCCAATTCCATTGTTGTCATTTTGTTGTGTAGGTTGGCAACCTACAGGTTGTCCAAACAGCATCACTCCTTGCGAACGCAAACAGCTTGAGCTGCAGGTTAGCAACCCACAGCCCATCAAGAAGGCATCACCAGCATCAGCGTCAAGGGATATCGATAGTAGAAGCTGCCCATTGCATCGCGAGCACAAGCACGTTCCTCTTTTTTCAAGTATGGACATCTCATTTTTTCATTGCGCTTTCAATTCCATTGGTTGCCAACCGACAGGTTGTCCAAACAGCATCACCAGCATCACTCCTTGCAAACGCAAACAGCTTGAGCTGAAGGTTAGCAACCTACAGCCCATCAAGAAAGCATCACCAGCATCAGTGTCCAGGGAGATCGATAGTTGAAGCTGCAGCTTGCAAACACATTGCATTGCGAGCACAAGCACGTTCATCTTCTTTTAAGTTGCCAAAAGGAGCTTGGCTGGTATTCAATTGTTTGGTCCAAATAGTATCACCAGCATCATCGCTTGCGAACGCCAATGGCTTGCAGGTGGGCTACTTAGGTTGTTTTAACCTAAAATCCATCAAGAGAGCGGCGATTTTCAGCCAGACTCACGGCACTCGACGGTACATGGCCCCCACCTGCCACAAGAACTCTCGTGTGCGCAGGAAAGGCGTTGGTTGGCGAAATTCCCTCGGTGCACGGCATGGGTGTCCCAGCGCAAAGATCCGGGATGAACACGAGCACGGTGGCGATGGCTACCTCTTTGGGAGATAGCCCCTTCTTTCTCTTATACAGACTAAAGGAAATGGGGGGTGGGGGCGACCCATACCTTAGATTCGATCAAATCCTCAATATGGGAGTCTGGGGGTGTTTGTCCAGATCTACCACTCCCAAAACCAAACGATCGTCAGACTCAAAAAACCGGGGCGGCAGGATCCAACGAGCTAAGAGAAGGTGCACCATCACCTCCCCTGAGTTTGGGAAAGTGAGAGGTGAATGGAGACGTTGCGAATCATAGGAAGTGTCTGTTTCATTTGCAACTATGCACTAGCTGAGAACTTGGAAGTCGTTCTCTCTTTGTAGGAAACCCAAGAGGGAAGTAAGGGTAGTCCAAAGATGTCAACATTTACATATAGCTTTGACTCAAAACATACGTTGCGGGGTTCCATGAAGGGGCCTCCAGTTGCCACCTTACTGTTTTTTTTGCATCATTAGATTGTTCATGACAGAAAACAGGACCCCGCCAACCGCAAAAGCTTGGCACCCTACCATCGCACGACATTCGCCCATTGATTCAATTTCCTCGGATTGGCCATGATTGGCCCACGATTTCAATGCTACCGTTGTCTTTGCAGATTTCCCCCAACCATAGTCCAGGATCATAGGAAATAGAATAATGATAAATACTGACATAGATGAAATCCCGCTCTTAGGTGAAGTTATTCAACATGGCCGTCCTAAAATGATGCAACACGGGCGGCAAGAGCAAGGGTGTTTGGCTCCTTCAGGTGGACCCATAAGGAATGTGACGGACTTCTGTCTACGCACATTCGACGGACGCAGGAGACAAGTCAAACAAGCTCTGTCTGGCTGATCGAATGTCCGACATGACTAACATGACGCTCTCTCTGAAGTTGAACACAAATCCCTGGCTTGCAAATCCAAATCTCTCCAAAGTCAGAACAAAATCTTCCATCCCCTTCACACAAAAGTATAAGAGCTGACTCCTACAGAATCGGCACAAAAAAACGATGTCCCTATGCTGAAAAGATGCTTCAAACCTTTGTGATCCATTTACAGTCACTCGGATATTCTTTTTGGTGTTTTGTTGACTGTAGGCCGACCTCTCTCTGGATTTTCAAAACTCACGGCCCACTCGATCCGCCATCGGACCGCCCAGGCACAGTGGCAAATCTCGATGCGATCGGATCCACTTGGCGAAGAAGGGATACCTCCGGTGTTCGACGCCGTTCGACGTCGCGGTCAGACGGGTCCGGCCAGCGGGTCTCCGCAGGGGGTTACAATCGTTCATGATCAACACAACGTGTTGCGGTCGGCCGCATTCTTCGGACATGCGCGGTTTACCAACAAGCTTTCATAGAGTGACGCTGTTTGGCATGTGCAAACAGTTCGCCCATAGTTCGCCCATGTCAAGTGAAAGTCATTAAGAATCAGAAATTTGAGAACACAAGTTCCGCTATTTACTCAAGTGTCGGGTGTTACCCATGTCAAGTTGACTTGTGCTATCTACTCAGCTTAGTCATGTGTCTTCTTCGCCCCCTGCAGTGGGCTCCATCATGGCTATCGTTGAGACAGTGAGCTACAAGTTCCAGGGAAACAATTGGCAGTTAAAAATTCCAATGATGGATATCAGGATATCCTTCAAGCTCGGGTTGTTGTGATGAGGTGAGGTAGTTGTGCAAACTCAAACTCGCGGCTATACCAGTCAAGGCTTTGTTTCAGCTCAGCCCACGGCATGATGGTCTCGCTGGTGGGCCGCAAAGCAATCTACAGTCACAAGAAGTGGAACAACTCTGCAAGCTCTGGACTGCAAACCACAGAAATGTTACAACTTGGGGGTGTCCACTACTCTCTGGATTTCATCGAACTGACCAAATGTACTTCTTCCATGATATGTCCTTCCCTCCGATTGATCTTTTGGATGTCTGTCCAAGTAATTCTCATCAACGGAGCAGCTATCATCATCATCATCATCATCATCATCATCAGTTTATTGCACACCCTTTACATGTTGTTAGGACTTGTTCTTGAGCGACTGGACTCGTCCCCCGTTGTTCCCATCTCCGAGTCCCCCCGGCGGGCTTCGCCAGCTGCGACTCGCCCGAGCGCGTCACCCAGGCCACCTGCGCATCAAAAGACGCATAATAAAAAACAAAAACCCCCCCCCCTCCCCCCCCAAAAAAAACAACCACAACAACCATGACCGCTTCGGAATTGACCAAAACAAGTGCCGACGGCGTCTCCAAAAACAAAGAAAACCAAGCGTCACCAACCGTCGGTTCGGTCCTCCGTCTTTGCACCTCAGGAGCGAAGCCTTCGAGGTGGCTTTTCTCCACTTCCAACATCTCCTGGAGTGCCAGAGGAAGGGCATGGCTCGAGCGGCTCGAGCGGAGACTGACGAAAGCGGGACACAGGAGCGCGGAGGAGCGTTCGGTGTTTTGGGGGTTTCAATGTTTGGAGCTCGTTGTGTCTTCTTGTTTGGCGCTCGGGCTTTCTGTTCCTCCAAAATCTGGATCTTCCAATCTTCTGAGATCCAACGAGATTGGTCGAGCGGCCTGTTGGGGGGAGCGACTGGATTCTTCGATCGAGCGACTGTTCTTACAAGATGTTGAGCCAATGGTCCGTTCACGGTCCCAGTATGGACAGGACATGCGTTTTGTGGAGGGTGAGAATCCCGTGTTGTAGGTCTGATGGTTTTTGTGCAACATCTGCATGGTATCAGGGCCAAGTGCAAGTCACGAAACAAATAAAAACCTTTACTCTTATCAAAGCCTAATCGTTATGCCTTTGGCATCCCCGGGTGAGCTCTTTGTACTTGGACCAGCGAGGATAATGATTGGTTGGTCCACTGGATGGTGGATATTCTGAAAATGAATGTGCACCCAACTCAAAACAAACGTGCAAAAGGCT